AATTTTGAATCTTAATATCTTTATAATTACTAATTTAATTTTTATGAAATTTAAAATATATATTTATTAAATCTAGAATAATCTGCTTGCATAATTTATAATTATAAATTAATAATAATAATATTTAAAATATTTTTTTTTTTAAAAAAATAATTTTTTTTAGTTTCTTTTTAGTAAAGTAATATTTTATTTATTATTAAATTAAAGTATAATAGAATAATTAAAATAGTATAAAAAATTAATTTAGATAATTCTTTATTTAATATAAAAAAATTATAAAGATTAATTAAAATTTAAATAATTTTTATTAAAAATAATTATTAATTTTTATATTAATATATTAATCTTTTTATAATAATTCATATTATTAATTAAGTATTAAATTTATTATATTATTATAATAAGAATTATATTATTTAAGATTTTTTTATTAATTATTATATTTTTTGATATTTTTATATTTAAATAAATTTAATTAATTAAATTTCTAATTTAAGATTAAATAATAAATTTAACAAACTTTTTAATTATATTATTATATTAATAATTATATTTAGTTTTTTATTTTAAAATTAAGAATTTTAATTATAATTTTATTAAATAATATATATAATTTAAATATAATTAAATAAGTTATTATATTATTTAACTTATAATTTTTTTAGTAATAAATCAGAATACTTTAATTTTTATAAAATATAAATTTGCTAGCCAAATTTTATTTTCTTATATTTTTTATTAGAAATTTTTTTTTCTTATATACTTAATTAATTATATTTAATAAAATAATATATAAAAATTCTTTATGTGTTATTATTAATAAGAATTCTATAATTAAATTTAATTTATTTATTATTAACTTTATATATTAAAATTTTAAATAAGTAATTAATATTAAAAAAAAAGAATATTTTTAATTAGATTATATAAAAGAACTTATTTTTTATGCTATATTTTTTAATTTTTGAAAAGAATATATTTTCTTAATATATTATTATATATTTTTAAATAAAATATAAAAAAGAATTTTTTATAATACAATAAATAATAGAAAAATATATAGTAAGTAAAGAGAAAAAATATATTAGTAAGTAAAAAATAATATAAAATAAGAAAAAAAAATTTTATTTATATTAGTAAAAATAAAAATTATAAATAAATAATATAATTTAAGTTTATAAAATATTTCAGAATTCTTTCTAAATAAATATAAAATATTAATTAATAAGTTAAGATTATTTTGATATATATATCATATACTTAAAAAATTAATTTTTTAACTGTATTATCAAAGTGATTTTAGTTATAAATATTATAAAATTATATATTAATTAGACTTTAACCAATTTCTATTTTCATAAAAAAAGTAATATCATATATTTGATTTATATTATATGATTTAAAAATAGCTATTTAATATTTTAAAGATAAATTAATCAAACTAATTAAATTATAATATATAAAAGTTTATATAATTTAGTAATATAAATATTTTTAATAACTAATATTATTATTTCAAAATAATTATTATTTTAATTTATTAATATTTTTATTAGATATTATATAAAATTATTAAATTATAAGAAAATTAAATGATTAGTTAGTATATATATCTATATATTATAATAATTTATATTATAATCTTTTTTGTATTACTATTATAATTTAGAGATTTCATATAATTAATCATTATTATTGATAAGTATTCTATAATAAAAATCTTATGTAAATAATTCTAATTTATTATTTGATATGAAAATTTAACTATTTTTAATAATAATTAATCTTTTTTAAAAAGATATAAATCAAGATTAATCTGAATTTTTTGATTATAAAAATTTAATATATTACTTATTAAATTAATTAACTTAATATAATGAAAATTTATTTATAAATTATTAGATAAATTACTTAAAAATGATATTATTTCTTAAATATAAATAAGAACTTGTATTAATATAATTGATAATGACAAGAATATTTTCTCAAAATTCAATTTGCTAAATAAATTATAACTTGATTATATTATTTAAATAATATTTTCATTAGTAAGCAAAACTTCTTTTTCTGATTCTTTATTATTAATTTATAAATATTCTTTTGCATTTATATATTAGTTTTCAGAAAGATGAGAAATAAATTAGTGAATCTCTTTTAATTTTATTTTTGTAAGTTAAATATAGATTGGTACTAATATTTATTTACTTAGTTTTAAAGTTATTAAATTTATTTATAGATGATATAATTTCTATTTTAATCTAGCAATTTTAAATTATAACTGGCATTATAGCATTTCATGCTGCTATAAAAAAATTAATTATATTTAAAATGCTCAAGAAAATGCTTAATATATTCAAGATATAAGCAAGATCATAAGAATTTTTTGATAATTTGCCTAATTAAATATTAATTAGTTTATTATTAATATATTAGCTTTTAAAATCAAATCATACTAATTTTAAAGAAATTAATTATATCTATATCACAAGATTATAAGTATGTAGTTGTATTTAGCAGCAAATAATAAATGCAAATATTGGACAAATTTCTCATTATATTATTGATAAAATATATTGGTATATTATCTACCAAAAAAAAATCTTTTAATATTGAATCCACATTTGATTATTGAGTTTTTTCAGGTAATCATTCCATATTGCAACTTGCATCCAAGCAGTCTCATTCCAATAATAATGAATATTCAACTGATTTTTATCAATTTTTTTCAATACTCATGATCATGCATATTTGTGAATAAGCAAAGGTTTCAACTTTTCTTTACCAGTAGCATTGAATGTGAACAAACCTGTGGTGCATTTTTTTGAAACTTTTATTCCTTGTACTGGAGTAAGAGCAAGTATACGTGAAGGTTCTACTTGTCAATAAAGATCTAGTAATAGACAATTATAGATTATATCAGTTAAAAATAATTAACCAAATAAATTTAATTTTAAATATACCTGTTTTATCACAATTAAATACATCATTTGTATTATAAATGCTGATAATTTTTTGCAATTTTTCATGCTCCTCATCTAATATTTCAAAAGAAGCATTTTTACCTTCACCAGTTTTCACATAAGATCATATATTATGGTGTCATTTAAAATTGGATAGCCATCTATATGATCCATTAAAGTTTTCAATATGCAAGAGAGTTGCAAAGGTTTTGGCTTTTTCTTAAGAGCTTGAGATAACCAAAGAGTCAAAGCATCTTCAACTTGAGGAAACTTGCCATTGGTACAGTTTTTTGTTTAGCCTGGTGAGAGTCAGTATTGGCTTTAACGCCAAAAGATTTTCCTAATTCTTCTTGCGTAAGTTTAGGGGGTTTTCAAGGTGTTGAATACAAATATTGTGTTTTTGCAAAATAGTTAAATGAACTCTAGAACGCTTAATAATTGTGGAAGCTTCAGATAATTTTCTTTTGTTGGCATTGACTTGGTTCATTTTGAATAGATTTACGTGTCAAACATTCAAAAAATTGAACGCGTTTTTAATTTATATTTGTGAAACATCGGTAAATGCTGTATAAAACTTTGAAAAAATATCGCTAATTCAAGCTTATCGTAATATCGCGATGCTATTTTCTATAGTCGCGACAATAATCTATCTCGTTAAATCGCAAATTGTAAGAATATTATTAATATTCGGTAAATTAAGCTAATTTTATATATAGTGAACTGGGAATTATATTTTATTCGGTATATGTCAATATCGTTAAATCGTCACATCGCTAAATCAAGCTTTGACTGTAATAAACAAAGAGCATGACAGGAAACTTTGACTTTATCAATGTCATAATTTTATCAATTTCTTTAATTTATAATTTCATTATTTCATGATAAAAAACAGATTTCGATGTATTAGTACACACGATAATGAGGTGACTTGCAAGGAAAACTACATTGATTCTTTCAACCATTACTTCCGTCGTTGTCAAAATTTATTTTAATTTACTGCAAATGCCATTATAACCTTTCGAATACTATTTAATATTTTTATCTTGCGATTTGATTGGAGCCAAACTCCCAATACCCAACATCATTGATGCCCAAAATCCCGACTTACCAAAATCCCAAACGTCCAAAATCTCGACACCCACAAAATCAAAATCCCGACATATCCAATTTCTATTTATTTGGGAATATCAGAATATTGGATTTTAATTTTTTCGTCACACATCGATCTTGATTGGCTATTTTTAAACATGTGGTGCAGATCAAATGAGTGTCAGATATGTGGCATGTCCCATAAAAATAGTTAGATTATACATATTTTTTTATTTCTTTGATGCTAAACAACTTTAACAGAACTAATAAAAACAAAATTATAATAAAAAGTTAAATGAATACTAATTTAGGGTCTTTGATAGCCACTAAATAACCAAAAAATTACGCAAAATTAATAAATTCCTATTTTTGTATGTGCGTAAAAGCGATAGAAAATACCTGAAATCCGTCCAATAATCCATCCCCGCTAGTCGCACAAGTTCCCTGAACAAACCATTTCCTTCCTTTCAAATTTTCCAACTTCAAAACATGTGTTACTTCCTGAACACTCATCGCATTCGGTAAATCTTGTTTGTTAGCAAGCACTAGAAATACAGAATCGCGCAATTCCTCCTCCGCAAATAACCAACTTAATTCCGTTCGAGCTTTCTCAATTCGTTCTGGAGACCGATCCGAAGAGTCGACTACGAATATTACGGCACCTACAGAATTGAAATAATGTCGCCAGAGTGGTCGAATCACGTCTTGACCTCCTTTGTTTTGTATAAAAAAAAACCAAATTTACCATTGGCTTTTCGATTATTTAAAGGGCGAAGAATTTAAGAAAATTTACCTATATCCCAAATTGTCAGGTTCAATTTATTGATTGTGACTGTTTCGACATTAAAACCGATAGTCGGAATGGTGATAACCGTTTCTCCTAGTTTTAATTTATATAGGATAGTAGTTTTCCCTGCTGCATCAAGACCAATCTAAAAAATTATTGAGGATTAGGATAAATTTGAATTGTATAATCAGAAATATATAAAATTATTACCAATATAACCCTTAAATCTTTATGCAAAAGTCCAAATCTTGACATTAACAACGAGATTAAAGCACCCATATTTAAAGTTTTGATACAGCTAGCGTGTTTCGGTTTATTAGATATATAAATGATTTCTTGACAATCTTTACGATTCTACAAATATCTAGTCTCCTTTGCATCATCTTAAATATACCAAAATTTCTTGCGCTTATAATCTTACGTGTCAACTTCCCAACTTGCCACATCGAAAAAATTAAAGCACATCGTATCACAACCGCAGTTTCTATTATGCTAGCTACCATCAATTACCAATGTGACACGAATTAATGTGTTAAAAATTCATTTGTGGTTAAAGCTGCGTAGAAAATTGAAATTACGTGTTATTATTTTTATTCTCAATTGATGACACGAAACATTGAATTACTTCAATCTAGGTTTACAACATGAGGTTTATTATTCAATCTAAAGCTTAGTTATTTTCAATCAAAAATTGATGTGATTTAGCGATGACTAATTAAAAATTCGAGGACGGATTTGCCCAAAACATATGATTATGATGTTTTCCTATAATCATGAATTGTAGCTTCTCAAACTTCCCAAACGTTATGGTTGTATGAAATATAATAGATTCTCGCCGAATTTGAATTCTAAAATGTCACTGTAAAAATATGGTTAAATTTAACAATTTTCGGTCCAATGAAAAATCTTGAATTAATTACATTCTTTCCTTTTTTTAAAGAATCTACTTTTAACTTTTCACGTAATTGGTACAAATTTTTAAAGTGTGTTGTACCGCATCAAAGACTTGCTTTTTCAATGCATCCATTTGTGGTAATCACCATCGTGTTAAATTGGTTTTTTGTTACCCGGATGACAATTGGTGCAAAAGTTGATAACCAATTAGCAAGGCAAAAGTTAAAAAAAGTTGTTTGTTAAATGATGATCTTGAATAGAAAAAAATCGAATTTAAAATTATCATTACGAGTTTTATGTATTTGTGCATCAACCACAATATAAAATCGACGCGCTTCATAAAGCACAACGTTTTTTTCGCGTCGCGCCAAAAATCAGCGATAACATGCTATTGGAGAATAACCGCATAGAGACGCATGGATGATTCCTCTTCTCCCCTGTCTTTACTTATTCAAACTCTTCTTCTATTCTTCTTGCGCTTTCGTTCTTTCTCTTTTCTCTTTTTTTCCTCTCTCCTCCTCTCTTTCTCTCTCTCTCGCTTTCTCACTCTCTCGTCTAAATAATAGATTTTCCCCTTGCGCTCGCAATAGAGAAGAACCATAGTTTACGGCCCTGTCCTTTGCATTAATAATTTTTAGCTTATTAACATACTCACGGGTCTTTCCTAAAAAAAAAAATAACCATATTTTTTACACAGAGACAAACATAAAGTTTTTGTCTTCGCTGTTGTTCTTCGTTGTTTTATTATATCACAACGAAAACACGCAAACTGAAGTTTTATTAGTAAGGAAGAGAAAACTTTTAACAGATATAACAGTCAACAATAGTGGTGTTGGCTCAAACTCTCTCTTCCCATTCTTAAAACTTTAAACACATTCATTAAACTTCTTTTGGATATTCCTTTTGAGCAAAGTAAGTTGCGTGATATAGAAATAATATTGCGCGTTAATAATCTCATATTAAATAAACCATATATATATATACATATATATATATATCGAAATTGATCATTATAGTATCTATATATGCCATCAACATATAGTCGTCTTCGCGAAACTTTTACCCACCAATTAGAACATATAATGGGTCAATATAATCAGTTTGTGGATGACACAGTCGAAGATATAATCCACAGTATCGATTATTTAATATCAAAAACTGGACTCGGAACTTCATACTATAGATGCTCGAGTACAGGAGAATGTCGAGAGTGTCAACGTCCAGGTCCTAAGCATTGGTGTATACCTTATCAGACGCGTCGATTCCAACGTAAATTTAAAAAATGGACGAGTGGAAGTGAAGAACTTGACGAATTTATTAGACAAACACAACTTGCTTCTACAAGTTCAACTGATTATCTTGAATGGATACCCTACGAGAGATTTTATAACATCGAGGAAATTGGTAAGGGAGGATCGGGTGTAGTCTACTCTGCCATTTGGGTTGATGGTCCAAAGTGGGAATGGCGTGAAAGATCACACCGATGGGTTCGTAAAGGTCGTACCAAGGTTGCTCTTAAATGTCTGGATAATTCACAGAAGATTACCAATAAATTCCTTGAAGAGGTTTGTTTTATTTTTCTGATTATGTATTTTTTGAGACAGCATAAAGATCTAAATCATTATCAAATATGTAGATTAAGACGCATCATCGTGCTATTATTGGTGATCATATGCCTCGTTGCTATGGAATTACACGAGGTCCAAATGACGAGTATATGATTGTGATGCAATACGCGAATGAAGGCAGTATAAGAAGTTACTTTAACAAGAGTTTTATCGAAATTGGATGGCGAGATAAGCTTCAAATGTTAAAGGAAACTATCGAAGGATTGCGTTTAATTCACAACACGGGTTTTCTTCATCGAGATCTTCACACCGGAAATCTCTTGAGAAACGTTGACGAGATAGGGTGTCAATCCATTTTTATCGCTGATCTTGGTCTAACAACACCATTGGATGACAAGCGAGCCTCGACCATCGTAGATGAAAGTAAACCGAAAGTCTATGGTGTTCTTCCTTATGTTGCTCCCGAGATAATGCGCGGAGAAGAATACACTAAAGCAGCGGATATTTACAGTTTTGGATATGTTATGTGGGAATTTGCATCTGGACAGCCTCCGTTTCTTGATCGTTCACATAATTTCCATTTAGCCTTGGATATATGTAAAGGGCTTCGTCCATCGGTCAATCATCTTCCTGCCACCCCCAAATGCTATATTGAAGTCATGGAAAGGTGCTGGGATGCTATTCCATCAAAACGTCCCGATGTACACGAATTAAGAACAATTCTAGAAAAATTCTATACTGAATTCAAAGAACACGAATTCAATGATGCAGAAATTGAGAGACTTCGTATTTCCGAAGGAGTTACAGAACCATCATCAACACCACCTCCGACTTCAGCACTACCACAATCATCATCTCAAACCACTCAGCCTCAATCGTCATCATCTGTCTCGAATAGAAACTCGCAAGCTGCTGCCATATACACGAGTCGTCTGCTTAATTTCATTAATTTGCCAGAACCACAAAATTCCTCGTCATATGAGCCAACAAATTACGAATTTATAGAATTTGAGGAAGCTGAAGTTGTTGATTCTGGTCAATTAGATCTTTTTATTCCAAAGACAGGTGATTATTACATGAAATTATTAATCAATCAGCAAAATCGATTTTTTTTCGATTAATGAAATATGATTACTTTGTATAATGTAGCATTTATAGCACGTCCACGAGACGACTTGCCAAAAATACCAGAATTAAGAGTAGACTCTCTGCTATTTCCATTAGATTCTTAACCTAAAAAGGTGGAGAATAAGATGAATATTAATTGTTGAATCGCAAACGCACACAACCCAGACAATCATTTGTAAGTTATTCTTCTATCTTATATGTCGTTTAAAAAATCATGAACTCTTCAATATCCTTAATCTTGCTCGTGAAAATTATAGAAACAAATTCACCCAACTATCACTATATAACTTGGATTTCATCAGAAAAAGGGGGCAACCATATTCATTATAGATTAATTTATTTGATCGTTATCCTCGTTATAATAATTTCCATCAACAACTTCGCAATCAAAGAAATATAATTCATTCACCTATCTATCATCAAAACTATCAATCGGCCCCCTCTAAATAATCCATCTAATTTAATATTTACAATTATAAATAATCTCGCAGCACGCCTTAATTTTAGATTTTCATAAATTGTGTAATCATATAATCTTTCAATTATTATTATTATTTTTTATTATAATAATGACGCGTGTATAATAATCATCATTCAATTAACCAGCAAACAAAAAAAAGTTATAGATGTTTAATTTTGGCTATCCACAATGGGTAAACACGCATAATGATGAGTGAGTGATGATATTAATAATGAAGACGACGACGAGAACGCGTTGTTTGTTTCCTCTTCAGCGACAATGTCATCTTTTTCGTCACACACAACCTTCACCCAAAAACGCGTCATTCTTTGATTGTGTCAACCACGGTAACGGAAGCAGAAGCTTACCCCACAAAAAGAAAATCTCCCTATTTTGGCGAATAATTATGTTCCGATATAGTAAATCATCAATCAATCAGTAAATTATTAATTAATTTGTACACGTTTTTTGTTTGTTCTAATTAGTATACACTAGTCATATAACATGTATATATATCTATACATATATATGTGTGTGTGTATGTGTGTGTGTATATATATATATATATATATATATATATTGTTATACACACATATACATGCGTGCGCGAAAAATAAACCATTTATCATTATTTAAATAACGAACATCCATATATTTATTTATGAGAAGTGGCGAACAAAAAAATATCGCCTTCCTCATTCTACCATTCCCGAACATCAGCTTTTCAACAAGAAAAACATTTAATCGATGTCTACATTCTATTAATAGTCAATGTTTTCCCGCTCAAAAAAAAAGCGTTTTAGGTGGAATACATGAAAAATTTTCAAACGCCACGTTTTTTCTAAGAGATCGTCCAAGACAGTTGCAGGGGAATCACCATATTTGTCACATAGGAAAGAAGATTTTGCTTCACCACTGGATTATCTATGAAGAAAAACTAACGCGAAAAAGTAAGAAATCAGTGATACGATTGGATGATACGTGATCTCAAGTGCTCCTCACGATGGATGACAACAAGGCACATGATAATAATATAGTGTGTGTGTATTGCAAATCTTAAAGATTCCAAAAATGGATAATTCCCCATTCCTTCATTCTTTTGTGGCGTTTTGTGCATGCTGTCTCCTTGCAGAACACACTTGCATTGCAGCGGTAGAAAATCATAAATAATTATGAAAAATTGAGGGGAAAAAGAATGAGATTAATGCAAATGCACGCAAACGGGAAAATTTTTTTGGCGTCATCATTTTTTCTGTTCTAATAGTAAAATAGTCAAAGACAAGCAAAAAACATGTAAACAAACCGGGCGTTTTCCTCTTCCCATATCAACTTTGTGTTGAATTAGATTCTAGTGGATGAAGCGATAGATTCTACCGCAACTACGCGATCCCAAAATTGTATCGTAAGGAGTTCGATTTATGAATTCATGTGTCGAATCATCTTTTTTATTTGTTATTTATTTATTTGTTTTTCTTACTTACTTTTATTACGAAACAATTAAAAAGCAAAATCAATTGACATCCTCAATGATTTGAATACAATTATTTTTAAAAATGGATTACAGATCTTTTTTATTATTGTAACTTTAGTAAAAAACCTGATTTGGGAGGCTTTGTCAAAATTTTTCATAGCATCCGCAGAATAGTGATGATACAGAATTTTCGCGGATATGTGATATTTCGATGATTACGAATTTAATAAATGTCAAGATGATGATAAGCCGATTACAAAAAAGGATGCGTATGGATGTTAAATACATACTGGGAGTTTTGTGTTAGCAATTTTTCTTGGGGGTATTTTATCTTTAATGACATGACAACAACGAAAAGAGTAGAAGTTTAACTAATAAGAAAAAGTTTTTGCGTAATTTTGTGTTCAGTGCGACGGACGAGCAATTGAGAAAAATTTTTGGTGTACGACAAGATCAATAAAGGGTAGATAATACACACATTTACATGTATTCAAGTAGTTTATTAATGTATTCTCGTCCGTGATTCGTCAAAAAACTTTTGTCTCATTATTCTGCATAGTTGTTTAAGCTGCAGCATCGTTTTCATACTATTTACGCAGCCTCGTGCTTAGAGTTTATTATATTTGTCATGCCTGTCTTTTCCCGAACAGGAGATAACCAGCCTTTCAATTACCAGATTAAGTTTAGAATGTCGAATGGAAAACGATTGGATTTGCCTGCGCGAGTCCCTTTAACTCTCACTCTTGCTTGTGTTTTCTCTCTTTGGCTTCTATCTCCTTAATTAAAGCTATTTTTGCTTTTCGTCCGTTGAATATGCTGTATTTTCATACTGCTTTTGCAGGGAAACTTGCCAGAGACCCTTATTTTTTCATTTTCGTTTACTCATTCACACTCGCCTGCTTCAATAATATTTATATTTTTGACGTGTCATAGAATATTTCATGTTACAAATATAAAATGATAGAATAAAAAATATATTATACATAATAACACAAATAATAATTCTCTCAAAGGTTATTTTTTTTTACACACAGGATTAACCATACACCGCCAGACAGATGAGACTGCTACACACACACACACACACACACACACACACACAAAATACGTAACGAAAAAAAATAATGATAATGATAATGATACTGGCAAAAGCTAATGATCAAGAACCGAGATGAAACGAACCAATTGACAAAAAAAACGGCTTCTAAGAAGAATTAATAAAAAGTAAAAAATTCCTATCCCTGACCTCTTTCATTAATGACAAGTTTGCAAACCTGACTTGTATTAATTTCATCTGAAGATGATGATGTTGTGGTTGCTTTCTTACTTTATTCATTCAGTATGTTTGAGTTACACATACACACACACAAACTTTACATAATTGTTTTGTATGCAAAAAATCTAAAAAAAAAAAAAAGAAATAAATTTTTTTTATTGACAAGCAGGTCAAGGAAATTAATTTTTCTTGCTGCCATGATGAAAAAAAGTCCAACAAGATCGGGAATTTACGGTGTCTAAATTAAAAAGGGAATAGACCGAATGTAAAAAAAAATTATTATTTTATTATTAACAACGCACTAAGCAAGAATAATAATCAATTATCACCGCATTGTTTTTAATTGTCACTGTGATACATTAAATTACCTTCTGATTGGTGAAGGATAATCAAAAAATTTTTTGACTCAAATGGAACAGAAACAGCAGCAGCAGAGCAAACAGAATTGTGGTGCGAATTATCCGATTCGAAATAATAAACACAACACCCAAAATTTTTTATTCTTACGAAAAAAACTCGCTTTCTTCTTATTTTTATTATTATTGTTGTTGTTGTCATGTTACCTTAACAATAATTAAACGACTGCTTTACTCTTCAGTAACTTAGCTTACGTTGATTTAGTATTATTACGACTATTATTATTATTATTATTATTATTATTATTATTATCATCATCATCATCATCATCGCACGGAATAATATTGCTATTACCTCGGGCTCACTTCCAACCCACTTCGTTTGCTTTCCATAATAATTTTTCAAACCCCCAACACACACACGCACACATTCACAGTAACACAGTTAGAAAGTCTAAAAAAATGCCCGTTCAAGATAAATGTGCTGTCTATTTTGAGAGACCTGTCACCCGAAGCCAGACTAAAAGCCTTAATAACTCAAATTCTGGTACAAAGTTGTCCTCAACTAATTCTTCTCGTTACGGTTATACTACTGCTGCTGCTACTACGAAAGCCGTCAATTTTACCTTTGAGCATAAAAAGAAAATAACTTTGAAGAATACATGGCTAAATAATCAATCTTTTGCATTTCTAGCGTCACCTTCGTCGGCGGCCTCGTCGTCGACATCGAAATTTCTTCAAACCACAAATGGTGATAAAAGTCTCACCATGACAACAAATCAAAAAAATAAACAAAACTACAATTGTTATTCCACAAACTCGTCGACAACTACCGCTAACGCTAGCCATGTAATGAATCACTCAGCTACCAACAGTAGCAGCAATCTAATAAATCAAAGCAATACCACCACCACCACCACCACCACCACTACCACTACCACTACCACTACCACTATTACTAATAACAAATCAAAAGACGATTCCTCATCTCGTATCTCTGCTGCTTCTTCCAACCCTTACCGGATATCGGAGTGGGCTCCAGATACTCCCGAATACACACCGGATCAATATGATTTTGATGATGTCTTCGATCAATCGTTTGCAACTGCGCTTGTGGATCCATACTCTCCGCCCTCGCCGTTCAGCCCTTATGAAACAACTGATGTTGATATGGATAATGAGAGTGAGATTGATATTGAATCAGATGATGTTGAAATCGATATTGAATCCTATTCACCGGCCCCACATTCACATATGCAGATCGACGACTATGATTACGATGTACCACTCAAATATCGATACGATCTTGAATCGGAACCTTCGAGTGAGATCGAAATCAACAATAATTCATCACCAACATCATCAATATCAACAACGGCTTCCTGTTCTCCCGAATATCATAGTCCGGATGATTGTATCATCCTTGAAGAGTATACCGAATCTCCCATCTCCCCAATATCACCAACCACTTCCACCACCTCAATATCAACAGCATCCTCGCCAATTTTTATTGATCAAGCTGACGAAATCGAAGGCTTGGTAGTGTTGGATAATGAACGCGTAACTGATCCATTTTCATTAGCGGAAAAGAAATTGCCAATCACTCGTGAACTCTTATTCGAAATCAAGGCTCATCTCGATCTCGAAGATACCGAAGATGCAATGTTTTGGTGTTTATGTACTTTGGCGTTTCATTCACTCGCCCGCATCAACGAATTAGTGACAGACACGCAATCCAAGGAACAACCGTTGCAAATCGAAGTCGAACAAGTCAAAGCACCAAAAGTTTATGTTGTGCCGTACGCGTGTATTCGAATACCTTACAAAAAGAACGAATACGCCAAGATCCGACATCTTGTTGTATGTCCTTCGAATGACGATATTTGCCCGTTAACTGCGTTGTCAAATTATTGTCGAATTCGGACACAAGAAGGCTACGCATCAGATCGAGATCCATTCTTTTGCTTCAAAGGCGGTGAAGTCGCATCAAGAAAATGGTTCCTGCATAAACTTGATCCATTATTACCAAACAGTGACGCTTCGACATACAGTTTCCGTGCTGGCGGTGTCTTGGATTTGGTGGCTCAAGGACGAACAAAACCTGATATTCGGTGTTTAGGTCGATGGGATTATAACTCGTTCGAACATTACCTGAATGATCATCCATCGGTCCTATTAGCTTTCATCTCGGCTTCTATCACAACTGCATATGAATATGGCGCTCTATAATTATTTAGTCAATTATTTTTTTAATATTTCTACGTACAAATTCTAAAGAATCATGCTCACCTTATCATCTAAAAAAATCTTCATCTAAAAGTAAATAGTCATCATCCATTAAAAAAAATTTCATCCACCAAAAGTAAATCATTAGTATATAGTAAAAACATATATATATATATAATATTAAAAAAACCACCTTGATGAACATTTTCGCCTTGCGGCTCAAAAATCTCCTCCCCCAAAAGTATTTACAATCACGTTTTTAATTAGGTCGCGTATAGAAATGCTGGTGGATAATAAAATACGATTAACCTATGTTGTTTGAAAAAATATATATATATATATTAAAATATCAAATTATTGAAACTCCGATACGGATGTTATTTCCATGTATATTAAATATAGAGGAGCATGTCTTACTTGCCTAGTATATCTAGTTCTTTGTTTTAACTCAAGGTTGATTGTGAAATCCGATTACATAACATTCAGTGCTCCTTTCTTAATGACAAAGCAATGTTCCCGAAACAAGTAAAGAAAAAAAAGTTTTTTTTTAAACATATTAAAGATTCAAATCCTAAAAAGTGAACGCGTTCCTTTCGGCAAGAAACCCTCCTTCCTCCAATTCGAAAAACATCAAGTTTTTCTGAATATCTTGAAGGGAAGAGTGAGAAAAAATTGGAGAAAATAATCAATTAATTTAATTGTGGAAAAATTTTTTTCTCTTCCTACAGTCATATCGATACATGAAAAAAAAATTGTAGACGCTTAATGACTTGTGTCATGCGCACGCGGAAAAATCTGTCGACAACAATATTGTGCTACAGATGGTGCGTGCGCAAGGTCATGCTTTTCAATGAGTTTTGGTGAGTCATTCGGATTTTTTGATGTTCACCCAATCTGAAAAATCTGACATCTGACACAAAATCATGTTTATCGATCATATCCAGTATCTGATATATATGCAGTAAAAGAACAATTTAGCTCGCTATTATTGTATCCCCGTAACCAGGTGATGATGATTAATGAAATAGCGTAATCAATCAATGAATAAGTAACCGAACAGTATCCAATGATCATCATCAAACATCTACTTTGTGCTATATTCGAGACTTACCGCTAGTGGAAATAGGCGTGTGAAGGGAAGAACGAAAGAACGGTGTATTACACAACACAAACCTAAAAAGGAGCAAGATCGGTCGAAATGTTTGGGGAAACGGTACACCAATAAACTGTAAGATTACAAAAAGGCAGCATCGTGTAGTGTAACTTTCTCTGTGGTACATTGTGTTCTTGTACGATACAAAAAGTCAGTTGTTTGCTTTTTTTTTCCCTCTAACAAATTAATTCCCGCAACACACACATTTCTTTTTTGCTGCTGTTTATCGTTATCATATTATCATTATCATTTATTATTACCATTATTATCATCAGTGTTCAACATTAACCAAAGCATATCTGACTTACCGCGCGTACACAAATCTGTGATTTACTATTATTTGTATTATTATTATTATTATTATATTTTATTATTATTTTTTATTTTTTATTCTCTATTATATATTATTATTATTATTATTATTATTATTATTTGATAAGATTCAAATATTCAATTTCGGATTCATTCATCATTATAATATAACTCTCGTCATCAATCATTATTATCATTCATCATCATTTATTATATTATATCATTTATTATTTATCTTAGAAATACTCTTCCCTCAAAGAAAAAAAAAAGATTTACTTCTTTTCTTGTTCCCTCTAAAAAAACCTTAGAAAACACAAATAATCAGAATTGAATTCGAAATTCATTAAAATTGTCATCAACATCATAATCATCATCATCATCGCCATCATCCACAACTCAAAATTTTTTTTTAATATAATATAAACAACCGTTTGTGTGAGTGTGTGCGCGCGTTTGCTTTGCTTTGCTTTACCCTCTTAACCAAAACAATCAAAAATTTCTCGAAAATTTAGATTTCATATTAACAAACACAACACAACCACTGTCGAACATCTTTCCGTTTCACGAAAAAAAATTATTCGCTCTTGCTGCGGATTAAACACACCTTACTTCTATTATTATTATTATTATTATTATTATTATTATTATTATTATTTTATTATTAGTCAGTAGTAATTATTGTTGTTATTATTATTTACTATATAACAATAATATTTTTTTTAAACAAAGTATTTACTATTAAAGTTCTTATTGAGAATAATTCACCAAATTCACGCCTTGCTCATCGTCAACAAAGAAGAATGAACGCCACCGAGGAAAAATGGTCAAACGTGCAGCAGCAGCAACCGTCACAACAACCGCCGCCGCCGCCGCAATCACAACAATCTCCCTCTCCATCCCCTCACAATCTTCCACACCCTACTGCATTGAACAACAACGGTCAAATGAACGGAGCAGCTGGAGGAAACGTCTCTCCTGAAAATTTTTTGCCCACAACCTATGAATATGAAACCCAATCACAAATGTAGGTATATCGGAAAGTAAGAGAGAGCAACAAAAAGAAAATAATCTATCGTTTTATTGGAGACTTCGTTTGGTTACCGAACGTTTATGTTTGTATTTCCTTCGTATCTTGTACAAAAAAACTTGTTTGGGTCATTGGTTCCGTGTTACATTACACATACACACGCGACAACATCGTCATAAAGAATTTTTGTTTTTCTTCTTGCAGAATACTCATTATTATTTATATGGTTATTTTTATGCATCAACCAAATATTTAATATTTATTAGGCCAGTACATGAAAATGATAACCAATTGTATACACCAACTAAACCAGACATTGATACTCCCGCGAGACCTTTTCAGTACCAAGGGTGAGTTTTATTTATCTCGTATAATGGACGGACATATTGAAAAGAGTAATTAATCAATTTATATAACTTTCAGTAGTTATGTCTCAATGTCATCTCCGAATACGCCAACGCCAGAAACCCCTCGTCAACCTGGATCACCTACTGCACCAATTACACCTCAATCTGCCCCCGAACAAAGAAAAGTCGTTGATAGGCCTAATTATGCTACAGGATCATTTCCCGCTACCCCAATAGGTGTCAGAAGACGAAGAGCTGATTCGATGGGATTTCCTGTTGATGCTGGTCCATTCTTCTCGCCAACCAAGCAACATTTCAAAATTTGGAGTATGGACAGAACATTTAGGTACATATCCTCCGTCATCATCATCATCATCATCATCATCATCATCATCGTCATCATTGATGATAAAGGCATCCTCTTAATCATTCATCATCACGATTGCTTATTATACTGCATCTATTAATCATCATCATCAAATGTAATATTAGTTATAAGCTTCGTATCAATTCCAAGGTTGACCGTGGATTCTTTTTGGCCGAAAGTGATTGGACGTGCTATCGTAGAAATTATTTTCAAATCAGCAGTGCGTTCTCAATCGAAGGAAACAACAATCACCAATCATCCGACGGTTCAGAAGTCCCGTGTCTACTTGAAATAGAAGGACAAGTACACACGATCATCGGATTTCACCTTGGTATAACGGCAAAAGTATCCAACAGTGACAAGAAAATTGAGTTAGTTCAACACACCCCAAAGCGTGATAAAGGCCCACAAATGGTTCCACAGCCGAAAGCGATTCGTCCCGGTGGGAATCTGAATTTGAGTTCGGTTGGAACCAATTCAAATATTGTCACCTTTGAGCGAATCCAATTCAAGACAGCAACCGCGAATAACGGGAAACGTCGCGCAGCTCAGCAATATTATGTGGTGTTGGTAGATTTGTTTGCGCAAGTCGAGAACGGAGAGTTGCATTGTGTGGCGACGTCTCAATCAGCTCCTTTGGTAGTTCGTGGTCGTAGTCCTGGTCATTATGCCGATAATCATGATCGCTATAATCCACTCGCTATTAACACAGGTTATGCAAATGATCGTCACATGGGTTTCCATAATTCTCATGCACCAAATGGAAATGCTGGTCCAATGCAACCAGACTACAATGCACCTCCATACTCACCATATGCACAGTATCCACCCACTTTCGCCGGTTACACCGGATCACCATCACCACTGCGTAATGACCCAATTTCACTCATGATGTCACCACCATCAAATACTCCCACGCATCCCTTCCATCCGCCACAACCTTCACATCCAACTTACATGGTCCCAAGTATTTCTGATGGTTCCACTGCACAAGATAGTAATCATCATGAAATGTATCATCACCCTAATTTGGATCCTAATATTACCGCGCATGATCAAAAGATTCAACATCATCATCCTCATTTGGAGATGCATGCCATTGATGGTATTAAATTTTTTCATTAATTAATTCTTATTTCGTTGTTGATGCGAAAGATTCACTCTCATTTTTATGTTATTTTAGGTACAGGTGCATCCGCACATTCAGCATTCTCATCGTTTGAACCAAGACATAATGTTCATACGAATGGCAATGCAACTAAACTCATGAAAATTGAAATACCACCTTCAACAAGTGAAATCCCGCCGTCTCATCCTCTAACCTCACCTGGATTCCATTCACACGATTATGTCGAAGGATTCCAAATGTATCATCAACAACATCAAAATGGTCATCCTGCTAATAGTGCTGCTGTACACCACGGTGGTTATCATTCCGATGGAGATCATCATCACAATCATGCTAATAATGGATATCAACAAACACAGCAAGAGCAAGAACACCATCAACAGCATCAAACATCATCTTCACCACCGTCGTCATCATCACCACCTCCATCGCATCAATTGAATGGGCATAATGGACATACAAACGGCACAAATGGTCATTCATCGTCACCAACTAGACGCGAAGAAGAGGAAGTAACACGAAGAGCAAGTCCCGTTCTTAACAATGACACCAAAGCAGCGGTACCTTCCCCAGTTACACCAACAGTTGCGACTCCATCTTCAGCTACGTCCCCAGCAACAACTCCTAAAACACCACGAAGAAATTCCCGAAAAGAAAGTGCTACAAAGCCACTAACCATGAGAAGACCAAGTACGTCAAAATCATCTGCTGCGAGTACAGAAGCAGCAAACACCAATAAGACGAACAAGTCGGAAGAAGCTGATATTAAAGTGTCAAAGAGAAAACGTGAGGATAATGAAGTGTGAAGATTTTTTATGCTGTTTGTATTATTGATGATGTTGATGACGAAAAAGATGATAATACATCTTTGTCAATTAATGTAAATAGGTTAACACTGTATGTATGTACCCTTTTTTTTTCTTATTATTTCAAAAAAATTTTTTGTTTATATTTGGATGAAGAAAAAGGGTTATTAGCAATTGGGTTTCATACGAATAATAGTATTCTTTAGACATAGAAAAATTCTCAAAAAAAATCCCTTTTTTTTTTGATTCACTACAAAATTTATTTTGCATGATTACACCGCCTGGAAAATCATAATTAATTGATTGTGATAACTTGTTCTCTTGTCACTATTATTGCTTTTTCTTAATTTTTATTTGGATTCTTTTTATTTTGCATCTATTTTCTCTTTATTCTGATCATCCTATCATTTATTATTACTCTACGTCATTATATATCTCATGTTTGATCCAGCAACACACACACTTTTTCTCTAATCTTTTTTTTAATAAATTAATCAAATAATTACGTTTGTGTGTGATTAAAATATCGAATGTGGAAAAATGATACTTGATTGTTGTTGCATGCACAGCACACAAAACAAAAATATTTGTGACTTGCGGAATAATTAAAGTTTTTGTGCATCATTACACATATCTTCGCATAACTTATGTAATGCAAGTTAGTACCGATCGTTTGCATTGTGTCAAAATCCTTGAGTAATCTATAAAGGTTCAATAGTGATACCTTTTAGTATTATTGTGTTCTTTTTCTCTGAAATGATAGAAATAAAAATATCAAGTCAATATTACTTGATTAACTCACTAAATCCATATCTTATTAAACAAGTCTTGGATCTCACTTCAACTTTGTAAATAATTTAATCTCAATTTGTAATCTAACAAAGTTATTATTCATGATTCTATTTATATTACATAGTGGATAATAAGTACATCTTGTACAGAAAGAAGATTTAGACATTTATATATATAAATTAAATAAATCCTCTCAAGATAAGAAACATACATGTCAAGCACAATATTTCACTTGTTGAATATTTTTTTATTCGAGAATACAGTTGCAATCTCTATATAAGAACAAATTATCTGAACAAATTTTCAAAAACCAACTTATTATAAAAGTATATTTAATTTCTCTATATTTTTATAAGATACAAGTTTTTTGCATCCCGATCATGTCCTTATAGACTGTGATGGAACGTAGCATCTTATGACTTATGTTCATTGGACAACAAAATAGGAAAAAAAGAGCACAAAAAATAAAGCAACCATTTTGGATCTGATATTCTTCAGATACACGATTCTGTTAAATCGACCCTGACTATATAATTACTAGACCACCTATAGTTTGTTTCACACAATCGATCTAACACCCAATATTCATTCGTTCAGCGTAAACGTAGTTGGGCATGTTAAAGTAAACTCTTGTTTAAGGCATCACGCTGTGACTGTGTCTAGTAGTAATCCGCAAAATTCAAGCTTTTGATCGAGCAGCATTATTGTGTTATCAATATATTTCGATTGCAATACAAGTAGCAGATAAGACATCACTGTCGCGCTGTCATCAAACTCAGACGAACGACTGCAACTTTTGCGTATCTATGCTTCTATATCATGATTATGAATTATGATGCTTGAAGTTTCCGTATTGGTTTTGTTGTTTGTATCGTAATCAAGCAAGTGTCAACACTATTCTCGATACTGTTGACTATGTTCTATAATGCACAAAAAATGTTTAAAATGTAATTTATTATTTAAAAATCCAATTCATCAGCAAAAAAAAAAAATAGTAACATGATTGCATACTTGAAGCCCATGATTCCAATATCACATACCTTTTACTTTTTGATGTTCCTATGAGCTGTCACCGAAAATTTCAGCTACATACCGTAATAATTTTGGAGATGTCCTAATATATGAGTTTTAAATAGAAGTATAGTAATGGACAGAAATTATTGCGCAATACAAAATGTTATGCACATCTGGATTTACTTGTGACGCATACTTTCGGATTGCCATCATAAAGAATTATACTTGCTCGCAAGTTTTCAATCCCTTCATATTCGGCACGCTTTCCTTCATCTTATTTAAGCATATGGTACAAATTTTGGTATACAACGTTGAAGTGTATATGGGTTTTAATTGCGACCATACGCTTTCAACCCTTAATGAATCATGGATTATACTTGCCACGGAGACTTTAGGTATAAAAATTATACTGTCTCGAACAAAAAGCATGATGAATACGAAGGGAAATTTGGAATTCAGTTAAGTACCTTTTTTTAGTTTTAATAAATTTGAGCGTGCCTTATGATGAGACTTAAAGATGAAGGAACATACATTATCAGACGCGTCGATGAAAGGCATATGTTTAAGTACCGTAAACGCTGTGCAAACCACCCCCCCTTGTATTATATCCCCCATGATTCAGACCCGGTCTTGTACATGGATAATGAATTTTGTAAATTATAAATAGACCCGGGGTATAACCGTGTAATATGTGTAACATTCACGTCCAGGATGAATTATATTCTTTGATCAGTCAATGATGATGATAATGGCGATGATTTAGAATTAATACACTACAAGTATTCTTTACTAATATTGATAATTTATTTAACTAATCCAGTATTTTATCTTTTTATTTAGTTAATAAGTAATTAATAATTTTATTTGTATCTTTCATTTAACTTTTTTTTTATTGATAATTTATTTAACTAATCCAATTATTTTATCTTTTATTTAGAATGTAAGAAATTAATGATTTTATTTATATCTATCATTTTAATTTTCTTTAATATTAATAATTAATCTATTATTCTATCTATATTTAGGATATAAAAAATCAATAATTTTATTTTGCTTCTTTTATTTTAACTTTCTTTGATGTTAATACTTTATTTAACTAATTTATTATTTTATCTTTTATTTAAAATATAAAAAATTAATAATTTTATTTTGCGTCTAACTTTCTTTAATATTAATAATTTATTTAATCAATCTACTATTCTATTTTTTATTTAATTAATAAATAATTATGAGCTGATATAAAAAGATTGATATATCAATATAAAATTAAATAATTACTTCTAATAAAAATCATTCAAATTTTAACTAATCTTTATAATTTTTTTATATTAAATA